GTTTCAAGCTTCTAATCGTGGCTTGGTCTTCTGGACGACTAGCCCCGTCCAGGAGCCACCCAGAGTCACCTTAATAGAACAAAAGAAGCTCCTGGTGCTCTTCACACTCAGGAAATTACAAGGGTTTCAGAAGCTCTGTGTCAGGAACAGCGTGGGGGGCCAGAGACCAATATGTATTTTTCTAGTATCTCACACCTCTGAATGGCCTGGATAGCCCCTCCCGTTCCCGTTTTTTCACGGTGATATTGTGACCCAGAGAGGTCAAACAATCTGGCCCCTGGCTCCACAGCAGAGTAGCTGAGGGTAGAAGATTCTGTGCGTGCTTCCGCTAGGAGCTGTGGGGAGGGCCCTTCGTGGTGGAGAGCAGGTTGGTCTGTCATGTCCTGGTAGGTGGTAATCTTCGGGTGAGAGCCAGAGAGAGAAGTGCCAATTGGTGTCCACCTTTATTACAAGACAGTTGTTTAGGCAAATAGGCTCATTTTTCTGCGCAAGCCCTTTGTGTATTTTAGCCTAGTAACCTTCAATAACTTTCTCTGCTGTATCAGTCAGGATTCTTTTTTCTTCATCTTTAATTTCTGCAGGTGACAGACAAGCCAAGCTGGCTGGGCATAAAACAAGCATTTGGGTTCATGTGGTGGAAAAGTTCAAGGGTAGGGTAGTTTCAGGCACAGCTTGATACAGGGATTCGCAAGATGGACCTGGTTGGTTTCTTTCACTTCATCTCTGGGTTAGCGTTATTCTCAAACAGGCTGACCCTTTGGTTAGCAGAATTGCCCTAGCAGCTCTAAACCATATGACATCAACTCATGCAAGTTCTGGAGAAACCACAAGAATCTTTTTTCACCTTGTCAACTAGGTGTCCTTGTGACTAGCTATAATGACTCATGTTCTTTCTCATCCCTGAAGCAAGCCCTGTGACCAGGGGGACTTAAGACTAATTGTCTTGCTCCAGTCTTGATCAGAGGGAGGGCTCTGCCCTAACTAACCACGTGATCCTGAGAAAGGAATTGGATAAAATTAGCAAAGAAAGAATGGAAGCTGGTAGACGCCTCCTCCCAGAAGGTAAACATTTATAGCACTTCTTAGTTGGATCAAGGAGCCACCTGCTGTAGAATTCTGTGGCCTGGTACTGGACCTCTCTTGTGTGGTTTCTTTTTCTTTCATTTTTAAATTCATCTTTAAACACACACACAGACACACACAGGAATTCTATTTTCCATCCACCAGATTGGCAAAAGCTTAGAAGCTGACAGTGCCGGGTGTTGGTGTGGCTGTGCAGCAGCGTGAGTGTGCCCAGCCTGCTGGTGGCAACGTACATTGGTACAGACACTTTGCAAACAGTTTGGCCTGAGCTGGTCAAGTTGAGGCTGCATCTGCTTGCACGTGTGCAGAAACGAGCAGTGTGTGTAATTGTCCCAAACTGGAAACCCAGACTGGCATCAGAAGTAGGTTATATGTCAGAAGTAGAATTCTACGGTCCTAAAGCAATGAAAATGAACCAAATCAGCTCACAATCGGAGTGACCCTGACAAACATGATGTTGATAGCCCCTCCCTCCCCCAAAAATGGGATGTGACTCCATTCCTCTAAAGCTCAAAACCAGGAAAGATGAGCTTTTTGCACACGCAAGTGTAAAACTAACAAAGAGGGAGGAGCGGTTATCACCATTGTACTACGTCCCCCAGCAGCCATTTCCCTGTACACAGCCTTTCCTTCTGGCTGCTGTATGTTCCTGGAGACACGCCTTGGATTCCGTGACTGGTGCTGTGCTCCAGTGGTCTGCTGCTGTGGGGAGTATGAAGGAATCGGCTTTCTAGTAATTCACTAGTGTGCCCAAGAGAAAGGACACGTGGCAAAAGTTGCTTGCACTGTTTCGCAGACATTTGGGCAGTATCTTGTAGGTATCAGATGCTGTGTGCCTGGGCATCATCCACTTCCTCAAACGGTTGGTCTTTTTTCCTGTGTGCCAGGCACCGTGCCAGACTCTGGGGTGGGGCAGACAGTTTTTGTTGTTTGGTGGGAAAAGCTGATGGTAAATGAGTTAGGACTTAGGATTGCAGAGAAGTACACCGTGCAGTATAGGGTGTTTCCCTGCTGTATAAGGGAGAGTGCATGTGAGCTCACTTTTCAGTTCAAGAAAGATTTGCCCAAGGAGGTGGCTTTCTGCTGAATCTTCAAGCTGGAGAAGTGTTGCATTATAGCCTATTCCAATACCACCCCCCTGCATTAGCCTCTAACCCTAAGTCAAGAGGGCGTGTCTCGGTATGACTTGAGGCACGTGATCTCTCTGAGGGAGTTTCACGGTATGACCGGAGGCCGGTAATGCTCTCTCTGTGGGGAGTGTCTCAGGTGACTGGGACCTATTGGAATGATAATAGTTATCTCCCCTGGGAGGACACAGTAACCAGTGTTCTGGGGCTTTGTGGCCGGATGTGTGAAGGCATAGGATTTGCTGGAACACAATGGATATGTTAATGGAAAGAGGCCCTAAGGCACACAAATCACACACGGTTGCTAATTGATTGACAGCAGTTTTACTTCTTTAAAATTTCTCAATAAAAACCATGCGCTGACCCGATTCGGGGCTCAGTCTCAGTCTTCTCTGGCTGAGTCCCTTGGTCTCTGCTCAAATCTAACTTTTGTCTCTTTGACTCTATTCAATCTGCGTCGCTCCTCACGAGACCCATTTGCCCTTGCCACGCTGGACGTGACAGAGAAGGGTTTGCTAAGTGGGAAAGGAATGGTGCGTTTTGAGGCTTGGAGAAGGGTTTGGTTTGGCTGTGGGGTTGAGTTTGAGTTAGGAAGTGAGGAAATGAGCCTGGAGACAAGGGCTGGGCCTAGATTATCTGGGGCTCATGGAGCATGGGAAGGAGTTTGGGCTGTGCCCCTGGAAGCCTTGGGTTTTACGTGAGCGTACTTGCATTTTGACACATGGCAGGGTCTTTCAAGGGACTAAAGGAAGGCCACAGTGGGTGGAGCGCACTGAGCAGAGGAGAGAGGAGGTTTAAGTAAAGCGGGAAACCCCTGAGGGTGGTGTCATCCCACAGTCAGCTCTGGTTTCAACTTCTCAAGAAAGGGTCACACAGTTATGTCCCTCAATGTGAACTCTGGGAGGACAGGGACTTTGCCATATCTGTTCCCTGCTGTCTCCTCAGGGGCTGGCCTGTGGTAGGCACCCAGTACACACGGTACTAGAAAACTGCCGGGTGAGTTATACCACCTTTTACTAAAGCCCTCAGCAGCACTTAAAAGCCTGGTCCCATCCACCTCCCAGTTGGCTGCTGCCGCCATGCCCGTCTTTGAGCCTGTGGGATTGCCACTGGTCAGTGTGTCTCAGCATCGTCCCCATGATTTGCACGGCCCCCGCTGTGCTTCAGAGAACCACTGACGTGTAGCCGTGTGCGGGGAAGTAACCCACGTGTGACCTCAGCAATGCACTGTCCACAGAACCCGCATCTCCTGAGCTGCTTGGTGCCCAGGCCTTGGGCGTCGCCAGCAGGGCATGACCACCCTTCTAGTATCCAGATCCAGATCACTTTCTTTTTGCCCTGAATCTGCCCTCTCCAGGCTGGTAGATGTGTCTTATAGAAGTTCACTGTTTGGAGAGTTTTCTTATTTCAGATTAAGAAATGGAGCTTAATCTGGGCCCCCAAGGGCCCTTAAGTGGGGTTCCCACGGGCATGGAGTCCTCGGCTAAGTGCTTTGGGATTCCAGGGAACAAGGGGCTCTTGTTTAGAGAAGCAGCCTGGAGGCTGGGATGCAAATCCAGGCCCCCCTCACTTCTCTAGGCCTCGGAATCTGGAGTCCATGGCTGGGATTCAGCGGCTTCTAGAACTCCCAAGGCAGCTGGAGGCCGGGAGGAAGGTGTGGGACAGCAGAAGCCACAGGAAGTTGAGGGAGAGTTGAGCACCTGTGAGGGCAGAAGCTGGCAGCTATTAAACAGAAGCAAGAGGCCAGAGTTCTGATGCTTTCCCTCTAGAACTGGGCCAGGGCAGGGCTAGGATGGGGAGTACAGGTGTGTGCCCACAAGGTGTGGGCATTCATAGCTATGCTTCCCTCAGCTAATTTTTGCAGTTCACAGTGACTCACACAGCCAAGAATTGTGCATGGCACCCACATCCTGAAATGTGCTGCTAGAAGTTATGTAGTGTCACCTCACCCATTCGGTTCGTATAAGCACATTTATGAGATCCGGTGAGCTGTAGGGGAGGGTGGATTGCTGGGAAAGGGGCACTCAGAAAGGTAGGGAGTGTCTCTCCAGTTCTGCCTTCTTCTGTGGAGTTGCAGCCTGCTTCTGGTTTGTTGAAGGGACAGAGACCTGCCTGCCCAGAGGCAGGTAATTCATGAAATGACTTCCTCAGGTTTCAGATTTCTCACTTAAGGGAGTGGCATGGGCCGCGCCCTCTCTAAGGTTTTTTCCATCTCTAGCTTTCTGTGTGTGGCTTCTGTCTGCTCAAGAGCCAAGAATGGAGAGGAGAATAATAATAGTTTTATCCTTTATTGTGGAAATTCGTTGAGATAATCAGAATATTCTGAAGGCATAAATGATAGAAAGGGCAGACTCATCAGGAAGTGGCATACACGGAGGGTTTTTTGCAGCAGCAGACAGCCCGCAACAACCTGTGAGGATTTTTGGTGGTGAGCACAGTTCCAAAGCACACAGCAACTAATTGTGGGAAGCTTACTTCAAGTCTAGAGAGAGGTCGGCGCGTGACACACTGAGCCGTTCCCCCCAGCAGCTGGTGCTGAGTCGCCCAGAATCTCTCTTGCTCAGCAAGTGGTCTGCAGTGCAGATTACAGTGGGCAGAGAGCCCCTCCTTTTTTTTTTCTCCTTTTCTCCCCCCCTTTCTCTTTTTTTTTTCTTTCTTTCTAGGTGATCTAATAATCCAAGCAATCAGAGCGACAGCCAGAATGAAGAAACAAAGAAACATGTCCCAAGCAAAAGATCAGAAGAAACCTCAAGACATGAAACTAAATGAAACAGAGGTATCCAACCTTTCAGAGACAGAGTTTAGAACGCTGATGATAAGAATGTTTCAGGAATTTAAGGAGAACAGAAAGAAGGAAACAGAAATCAGAGAAAACAACCTGGTAGAACTAAGGAATGCAGTAACTAAAGTGAAGAACACACTCGAAAGAAGTGGCGTAAGTTGGGAAGAGTTTTTGGAGAGGGCCAGTTTCATACTGGATCCGCCCCTGTCTCTTACACTCCAATCCTGTCTCCTGTCATTTAAGACTAGGTGCTTTGGTCAGTGTCAGCAGTAACATGTTCCCTTACGTTTGTCAGCACTTGACGCTTGTACAGACTCTTGTAAGGATGATAGAAAGATATAGCCCCTCTCCTCAGAAAATTTTTCTAACATTTGTTGTTGAACCATTTAAAAGCAAGTTGTAATCATGCAGCCCTAAATACTGTCACACGCATTGCCTAAAAATATGGACATTCTCAATAAATACCAACCATTTTAAAAATTAATAATAATTTCATAATATGATCCAACACCTAGTTATTCCTTTGTCAAGTTTCCTTAATTGTCCAAAAACTATTTTTATAGCTTTTTCTTTTAAATAGAATCCAATCAAGGTGTTTGCATTTGGTTATTTTTCTTTAGTCTTTCTAAATCAAGAACAGTCCTTTTATATTTTTCATGATATTGACTTTTTAGAAGACCAGGCCAGTTTTCTTGTGGAATGTCCTATATTCTGGGTTGATCTGATTGTTTCCTCAGGATGTGGTTTAGCTCATCCGTCTTCCCCTTGTATTTTCTACAAACTAGGAGTTAGGGTCTACAGGCTTCATTTGATTCATGTAGGCCACACATTTGTGGCAGGACTGCTTCAAAGGTGGTGTCTCATTCACATGGTGCCACACCAGTAGCACATGCCAGCTCTTCCCTCCATCAGCGATGCTGGCTTTGGTCGCTGGTTAAGGCGACCCCCAGACCTCTCCCTTATCTCGAGGCACATTAGGAAGTAACCCACTGGGTGGTACCGTGCCACCATGGGGCTCCCCTGCCCCCCAGCACCTTTACCTCATGGTTTTAGTGTCCACTGAAGATCCTTGTCTTATACTATAAGATTGCAAGACGGTGGTGGGGTTTTTTTGTTTTGTTTCGTTTTGACTTTTTTTTTATTAAATTATTTTTTATTATGAAATACACATTTTTTAGGATTAGTTTCAGCTGTACAACACAGTGCAAGTTATACTTTTTACCCCTTGAAGTGACAACCCGCCTCCCCCAATCCACTGCCCCATTTCCCCCCAATATCATACATATCTATTACAATTCCCTTGACTCCACT